ACAAAATTAACATTAACGACCTGTTCTAAAAAGTAAAATGCAAAATAGAATAATATTACCTCAGCACAACTTAAAAGAAATCAAAAGTGGCCAAGAGAAAAAGGAAGGAACTTAGAAAACTAACTTGACTTTTGTGTACTTTTCCAGACTCTGCAGAATGTCCATTCCTACATGGAGGTAGAAGGGATTCCTGGTTGCCTAGGGAGAACACGAGAGAATGTGATCCAGTGAGGGCCTGGAAGACACGCCGTCAACACACATCGCGGTGATTGCAGGACGGTCCCGAGGAGATGAATCACTGTCCAAAGGTAGGCACGGGCCAGTTCACTTTATCCTGAAGCGTCGCGAATGTTACAGGATTAAGGTGTTCTGTCGGTTCACATCAAAGAGCACCTCCAATCTGTTTAACTTGAACGGGGGGGGTGGGGGGTGGGTGAGAAGATCTGACCCAGGGCAGATCAACTCCCTGCCTTTGGCTCTCGTGATGCCCATCATGATCAGAAATGAAACAACACCTCACTGACAGTCCCATATCTGAGAACAAATCCAGTTTCTGTGTTGCCTCAGAACTCCCTAGAAGCTTAAGCTGCAAGCACAGGGAAACAGGACGTTGCCCCCGTTCCATCCACAGCACCGTGAGAAGGGCTAGGGGACAAGAAGGCTCTCAAAGTATCTCAAGAGGCCTCCACATGCTGTGCTCTCTAATCACCCTAGGAACTCAGTCCCTGGGTTGTTGCTTCCTCTTCTGTCACATGCTCGTAGATGGTTTCGTTAGGGGAAAAAAAAATTTCTCTGGGAAGATGAGACTTTTATCCCAAAACTAGTTTGAAAGTTGGGGATCACCTATAATTCGTGCCCAGTGCCAACCGTGCAGCAGCAAAAGCAAACGAGCACAGGGTCAGGTGTGTCTGGATTAGGAGGGCACACGGAGCAGCTTCCGAAGGCAGGGCCAGGAAGCCGAAGATTTCTCTGGATTCTAAGACAGTAGAGTCAACATGAGGAAGAAGCTGCAAGAAGAAAGAAGCAGCGACGGAAACCAAGAGGCACCAACCCAAAGGCAACAGACCTAAGCTTAAGAGGAGAACGCAGCCAGCACCCGAGTGTGTCACCCTCGGAGCGTGAGTGGCCGGACTCTACTCTGGGATCTGGGATCCGGGATGCAATATCAGAGGCAACCTCCCCACCCCTGAGAGCTTCCATACAACTCACAAGGTCTCTCTACACCTGAAGTCAGTTACCATTTGCACAGGATTTCTCCCTTTTTCAGAAGCAACTGGCAAGGATTCGGCGCTAAAAAAAACCTATGGAATAAATCGAAACTACTGATCCTACTACCAGAGCTCATCAGATCTCCTTGCGAGGGCCTGCCCACTACACGCGTCTGCCGAACGCACGGAGGGCCAGCTTCTTGGAAAGTGAGCAGCTCGTGCTGCTGAATTTGCGAATGGCTGACAACTCTCGATGTGTACTATGTATGGCACGCACAGAGGTATAAATATCGGCCTTGAACCGTCGGGGAGAAGATTCTTCACAGTTAGAGTGACATTTCCTGTGGCATTCAAGTAATTCCACAAAAGAGGAACACTGTATGTGTTTGTGAAGGATTAAACAAAAGTAGGCACTCAGACGATCCCAGATGATTCCCTTTCCGACTAAGAAAAATAACTTTTCTGTCTGAATACTTTACACAAACCAGGGTTCCACAGTACATGAGGACAGAAATGCATCCCCCAACAAGAGTTGTTTGGTCAAATAAATTTGGAAGACAGAGAGTACCAAATCTTCCTCTTGATTGAAGGATGTGAGAAACAAGCCCTGTAGTAAAGATACGACTCAGCTTTGCAGAATGTAGGGCAAACGCGTACATGACTGCAGACGTTTTCCCTGTCCCATGCAGCCAGGACAGACACTGAGCGCTAACAAGGCTCTGCGCCGGCGGTCACTCTAACGGTCGCTGTGAAATAACACTATTCCCCACCTGTCAGCAAGTTTCCCTACGAACCAACTGCTACAGGTCTTCCCAGCATTTCAACACAAACTACTGTTCAACAAGCTCTAGCACCTGGTACAGGAGATACGTAGACTCCACCAGCTCGGGTCTCAGCGGATAGAAGAGCACGTCGGGGGCCTGCAGCTGCCAGTTGTACCTCTCGGGGAGGGCCCCGTAGCGCTTCCATATGGCGTAGTAGAAGGCGTGCAGGCAGATGGCATCTTCCACGTCTCCGATCAGAACCTACAGGGAAGGCGCAGGTCACCAGGCTAAGACACTGTTCTCAGAGTGGCGACGTGACACAGGCCCTGGGCTCCCCCCTCCCCCCACTGGTCACCTGACCTACAAACGTGGCTGGAGACAAAACCAACCCAAAAGGAGCATCCCAGACAGACCCCCCCCACCCCCCATCTGGCCATCAATGCCCAAGCCCTGAGAAGTGCACAGGACAAGAGGCTAGCTGTACTCATGAACAAAGAACGGACAACTGAGACAAGAACCATCCAAAAATCACATGCCGTTACTTTTCTGGCATGGCTTTGCACTGATTTAGTGTGGAGTCATTTCCAAAGAGAATAATGGGGACGTACTGTGCTATTCACTTCCCAAATCTGAAGGAGCCAGAGAGTGTTCTGGTACCATAAAAAGAAAACGGTGGGGGGGGGGGGAAGCCCTTTTCCAATGACTGCTATTTCTCAGCAAACAGGATGGCGAAATACCTGCAGTCCTGGGAAGAACGCCTGCAGAGAGTCAATCCACGTGTTCATCAGCTGCCCGCTGAACATGTTCACGTTGACGTAGAGGGGCGGGTCCCCTTCCCCCTCGTTACAGGCTTCCCGACTGAGGAGCCACGCAGAGCGGCCAAAGGGGAAGAAAGAGAAACAGCTCAGGCTCTGTCCCCGCAGCAGCCCCTGGCAGTTTGACTTAGATGGAATCAACATTAACCTTTTCTCCTCACTCATTCTTTAAACCTTTGGAGACAGACGGCCCCTACCTCTCAATACAAGACTCTAGCATAAGATGACACTTACCAAAGGATAAAAGTTCTAAACTCAGCCATGGTAACACATTGGGATTTCACTACATTGTGCAGAAAGCACTTTGACAATCAGGTTTGAGAAATACTTCCACGTAATTTGGTATATAGCATGGGTCAGTTTGGACCTGAGTGGGGAAGGCTGGTTATTTCTGCACCAAAAAAAGAGTCTCTTCTCTAATAAAATCATACACCATGGGCCTGGAGGAACACCTCAGAGCAAGAAGCTCAGTGATTACTACTAATTTACTAAATTTAGGGGCTTTAAAAATCAAAAAGGATTGAACTCTGGCCAAACAGCCTCTTACTAAAACACATCACTTGAATGATCCTACAACAGCTAGGGTGGAAATGGGCAGGCAACTAGTAGCTATCACTTGCACTGGCCACTTAACACACACATGTGCACAAGGCAAGACCCAGGGAAGACAGAGGCGGCACCAGGGTCGAAGCCGCTGCAGCTTCGAATGGCACTTCTCTTCTGCCATCCTGAATGCACAACTGACAAGCCGCAGACAAAGCTGTTTCAAACAAACACAGAGGGAAAAGAAGGTGGTAACTGTCCTTTCTCTCATCAAGTATAAAGATCAATCCTAACTTCTTTAGAAAGTGAAAGAACCAACACAACTGTGCCGCATTACAGCTCTATGTGCAATTAAAACCAGGGAAACAGAGGGATGTGTCACTCTTGTGGCAGCCAGTCTCCAGGCGGCCCCCAGTGACCCCTGCCTCCTGGCTGTCACACCCGTGTGCAGTACCCTCACAGACTACATCAGCCCTGGTCTGTGTGACCAACAGTGTCCGGCAGAAGTGCTGGTTGTCATTCTGAGATTAGGGCATTGAAAGCATATGGCTTTCATTCTGGTGGCTCTCTTTCCATCTCTCTCAGATCACTCATTCTGAGGAAGCCAACTGCCATGAGCTGCCTACAAAGAGGCCCATATGGCAAGGAACTGACACTTCTAGCCACAGCATGTGAAGAACTTAAGCCTAGGAGGGGACCCTCCAGCCCTGCGTGAGCCGTGACAAGGCCGCAGCCCTCACCAATAGCTTGTGGATGACCCCGTGAGAGCCCCTGGATCAGCCTAGCTGCTCCTGGCTTCCTGACCCTCAGAAAATGGGTGAGATAATGTTTGCTGTTTTAAGCCACTAGGTTTCAGGGTAATTTGTTACGCAGCAGTAAATAGCTATTACACCTCTTCACCACCCCCTCAAATGACTTAACAAACAACTAGGAGGCAGTAAAATGAGGGCAGAGACCAAAAGATCCTGTGAATCTATGTTGAGAAAAATACGAACATTTCACAATACATTCTATTTGCTTGATGGGACAGTAAGAGAGATGGTGAGGAGACATACCCTCTTCTTAAGTAGTTCTGAATACTCTTATATGCAGCATTAAACATTTCTAGGTCTTCTTTTTCTCCAAAGAGAATGTAAGATTTCAAGAGGTATTCATAGAAGGAGTCCAGTCCGGCACCCAAGCCACTCTGCTTTCCGACCCAATGGCCCGTCTGAATGTTCACAACATTGCCTGTGAAAACAAGCAAGCTCATCAGGGCCCCCGGGTGGGGGGCAGGGGCGCCTCCTACTTCAGCCCCACTGCTCCTCAGCACTTTTGTCCCTCACAGGAAAGAGGAGGGATGAATGAGTGGCGCTCACGTCTTTATCGGTCCTATCAGCAGCATGGGTGGTCAGAGCTTCCTGAACATACAGTGTTTCAACACTGACACAAAAATGGGGAAAACATTTAATGCACAAGAAAAATAGGTTTGTCCTGTTGCTTTTCCAGATTGACAATGCATTTCAAAAGCCTAAAGGGTGTTGATCATCAGAGAATGATGAATTATATAATTTACATTATCTGTAAAATGGAAAAAAGAAAAACAGAAAAAATCCAAATGTCCAACATCAGAAGAGTTAATGGACTGTCATATAGATTTTAAAGACAATAACTGTAAAAACAAGATAACAACTTGAAACCGTCTGCATGATTTGCCAAATGAAAGGCAGAATAAAAATATCTATATTATAATTTGAAAGTATACAAAAGTTGCACATGGGGCTTCCCTGGTGGCGCAGTGGTTGAGAGCCTGCCTGCCGATGCAGGGGACATGGGTTCGTGCCCCGGTCTGGGAGGATCCCGCACGCCACAGAGCGGCTGGGCCCGTGAGCCATAGCCACTGAGCCTGCGCGTCCGGAGCCTGCGCTCCACAACGGGAGAGGCCACAACAGTGAGAGGTCTGCGTAACTGC